TCATCTTTAAAGCTGGTGTGCATTTTTTAAGTAACTTTTACTAACTTCTCCACAGAAAAATACCTTGATGCCAACTACTTTTCAAAATTTAATCTTTGTAAGTATTAAAGATTTGTAAACTAATGCAAGAAACTCTCCCTATGTCATTGGTAAAGAAAAGGTAAATTCAATAATTTCCCTTCAGAAAATAGGAGACAAACTAATCAATTCCAGGTCTCCAGATTCCGACACTGTTCATAGTACTCTTCTTTCCCCAATAATCACACAAGCTTGAGCATTAAAAGTTTACTAGAATCCGGAAGTCAAATTTTCTAAGTTAACTAATTTGAGAATTTTCAAATTTTTTCATCATTTCCTTATAAAATGCTTAACAAAAGACACAGAACCTTGCCAAACATCAAAATTAATCTGGATCATCTACTTACTAACGACTACTTACTAAGAACTCCTTACTTACAACATGAATGCTTGTTTTCAAGAATTCAGTCAACCATAAGAATTCCATTGGTCTTACCAATACACTATCCGTCACTTAAAGAAAATGGTAAGACAAATATTTCCAATTCTTATTTACAATGATTGTTTTGCTTAAAAACAACAACAACAACAAAAAACTACTCTTCAGATTCCTCCATACAGCATAGTAGGGGTGCTCTATACATAGAGTAACACATTGAGTTTTTAAAAATCAAAGATTTGCTATGTACAATAAATTTTCTCTCAAACATATTAGAATAGAATTTAAAACACAACTTTATAAATCTGGTAAAGATACTTTCTAATGAAAAGATAGAAAAATCCTTAAATTGCTTATTCTTAAAAGTGTCAACGTAAAAAATAGACAGAATAACGTTTCAATTTTAGGTATGTTTCAGTTTTCAAGAGTCAAAATAACTATCACCTAACCTGTAGAGATAGTGAAGTTTCAGACACGTGTCTCACCAAGCTGCCTACAAACTAGTGTTTCTGCCTCCAAAAGTAAACCATAGTCAACTGAGACTCAGTGCACCTCAGTTACTTCTTGGATTGTTATACTACAACCTTCCCTATGTTATATACATTTTCTCCACCCATGACAGGAACCCAGGCTGCCATGCCAACTGTGGCAGAATCCATGCATTCTTTGGTACTGCTTCTGTAACATGCTACCATTATCTGTAACACCATGGATAACTTATAACACAAATCTCATTACAGTTTCATTTTAAACTAAGTAGAAGATATACCAAACTACAATGCTACTTAGATTTCCCTAATATCAAAAGCCTCTCATCCAACCATCCATGAAAACTCAGACTGCACATGCATGTGTACTAAGTAGCTAAAGGTAAGCTTACTGCCTCATACCCAGTAACCAAAGTTCTCAGATTTATATAAATGACTGTTCTGTGTCATTGTTTTTGACTAACAATACCTTACATTCTCAAATCCCATAAAAGTTTAATTTTCCTTATATCAGAGCATTTGCAACCTTGTATATTCCACATTTTCAATACCTTATTAATTGCAAATTTACTAACTTTCACTCTTTAAAATGGCTTCTCTATTTTTTCAAACAAATTAACTTTCACCAATTACTATCACCAAAACATCCTCTCAAACAAAATATGAAACTGAAAACACTGTAACTTAACTTTCCTAAATTTGACAGCCCTTATCACTTTTAGATTTAATTACAAAATTAACTTAAAATTCCTAATTAGAGGATAATTTTTATGTCCATTGTACTCACATAATACCTGAGCTTCCTGATGTCAATAAAAATTAACTAGGAAATTATGTTATTGTCTAACAACTCAAGGCCAGGTAAGTTAATATTGTTGTGAGAATCCTAAAATACACATAAGAAAACTACTCATAAAAATAAATGCACCCAATTAGATTAGGTACTGCTCAAAATGAATTGCCCAAGTATTAAAGCTCCACAGGAATAGGTAGATAATGACAAAACCTAGGAAAGAGAAAAATGTCTGCAGGTAAAGAATTTCCAGGTGTAACCAACAAAGATAAAAAACTTGCAGCCTATCCTAACAAAAAGCCTCCAAATAGATTAAAAACTTGACAGTATTTAACCTAAAACTAACCAAGTATAATACAAATTCTGAATTACTAAACTGCTTAGAACACATCTTTAAGTGGCCTAAGAACAACACATGTGACAATTTTCACAACTACTCTGGCTTTAAATTCCAAATTTCTGAATAAAAGGACCCAATGTTCACTCAGTCTCTCTTCTTTCCTCCTCCAAAGTCACTACAATCTCCACTAACAGAAAAAGACTTCACTCGTCTTTAACCAGTCCAGGGTTTTACTTTCCTCCTCTTCATTTTTGGTTGGTTTCCTTTTCTCAGTACTGAAATCAAACCCCCGGCCTCATTCACATTAGCCTATTGCTTGACCACAGGAGCTCTAACTCCAGCCTCAGTTCAAGATAACTCAACCACCAAAACACTCAATGTTTGCTCACAGAAAGTCATAGCAAAATTTGTCTAGAGACCTATCCACAATACCTAAGGAATTATTTGTTTCACGTTTCATCTTCAAGTCTAAAATGTGTATTAGCAGTACTTTCTAAAGTTTTAAAGTAGTGTTTTTTATAAAGTATTGCTAGGCTGAGAAAGTTATGAGTGCTTGTATCTCAAACAGAAATGCTTTCCTTACGGAAAATGTTACACCACCACACTTCTACAACCTTTATTACTGTCACTATAGTTGTCAAGAGCAAACTCAAACCCTACACCAATTACTATTCCCAGCCTTGTAAGGTGGATTTGCCATCATTAGACCATTTTAGAGACTAGCAAATGGATGTCTTCAATACTTGTCTCAGTCATAAACCAATGTCATGCAGTTAAGAAACAATTCCACTACCCCTCTATGTCCACATCACTTTGCAATGTATTAAGAATCTAATGTGGATTTATTTCATTTAAAAATTTATGGGCCTGGGGTATAAAGCCAGTTAAGTGCTTGAGTTTGGTGCCCAAAACCAATCTTAAAAAAATACTAGGCATCCACATTTGCAATTAATTTTAGTTCTAGAAAGACGAACAGGTACATGGATCCCTGGAACATGTTTCACAGACTAGCCTAGCCTACTAGGAGAGTTGCAAGCCAGTGAAACTATCAGAAAAGAAAAAGGAAGTAAGTAGTGCCTTAGGACCACCACCACAAGGTTGTCCTGACCTCTACAATCATATGTGCGTAAAACCCACATTCACAAGTACACATGAATTTTATAAATGAATTCAAAGTACTAAATCAAAAAAAATGAATGTTAAGCACTTAAAAACAATGCACTGCCATTTCTAACTCAAAATGATATTTCCAGATAATTTTCAATCCATGCTTTTACACATGGTTACAAATAACCAAGGAAAGAAGTTATGTTTGCCCACATCACCTGCAAGCTAATTATCACCAGAGTTTAAGATAACAAGCCACATTTCCTGACTTCTAATTCTTTCACTTTGACAAAAGGATATAAGAAGCAGTTTAAGAAAATAATTATTTTTAAAGCAAAACTACATCATTTAAATAAATTAGCAAAAACATTAACTCAATTGAAAAAAGTTAATAACTTGTAAGAAAAAATGTAATCAAAGCATCCCAAGTCTGGTGAAAATGTTTTACTAATCTGCTTTAAGAACTAATAAAATAGCAGTCAAGACTAATTAAGGAGACAACTGGGAAACAAAACTAAAAAAATCAACAAATTCAAATACATAATTAAGAAACGAGCCAAATGGCTCATGCTTCTAATGCCAACACTTGAGAAGGTGAGACAGAAGACAGAACTGAAGGCCATCCGACTGTATAGCTACAGCTGGGTCCAGACTGCCTTGGGATAAGTGAAATCCCTTAATAAAAAAAAAAAAACAGGACTCTTTCTTACTGTATAAAAATTTGGCTGGCCTGAAGATGCAGCCAGCTCAACTGTGAAGTGCTTATCAAGCATGCACAGGGCTCCTCCTCGACTCATTCCTAGCACTGCAGAAACGACTCTGCCATCCCAGCACTTTGGAGTGGAGCAGGGACATCAGAAACCCAAGGTCAACCTCCCCTACACAGACAGTTCAAGGCCAGCCTATCTATAAATAAATAAATATATACTTTTTGGGGGATTAAGGCTTGGCTTCATTTAAAAGAATTCTGATACATACATGAAAAGGTCCTTTACCTTAAAAAATTACAGGTTAACAAATATAAATCCTGAGTAAACTTAAATAAAATATCCTATCAAATTTTAAAAGAATATTTTAAGTGTTCACCCAAGTAATAATCCATCACATTCTGATCAAAAACAAAATTCTCAGCTTGTGAAAATTCCTTTTTGATCATATATACCAACTTTATTTTTTTAACTTTTAAAACTCTCAAAACTACACTAAACACTCTAACTTCCAAAACTGCAGTAAACACTCCATTTTCCTCTGAATCAAAACTGAGTCATTGGAATACTATTCATAAACTTGGAATACTATTCATAAGCTATCAATGTTGATCAATACTTATTTTTAAACTCACTACATTCAAATATACATCTCTTTCCTAAAGATTTTCTAGAAAATTCCAATTTCACATGAATTCTTCCATTTAAAATATTGTTCAGCTTATTAATTAATACACCAGCAAGTCATTTCCAGGTAGAAGTAGAAATTATTGAAACCACATTTTTACACACCAAATAATTTTAAAGCAATTACTGTTAATTCAATTTGAAGCAATCATGAGATTAATTAAAGAAACAGAATATGCAAGAGACTATATGTGTTTAGTAAAACATAAAATTTTCAGATTACTAATGTGCTCAGAAACCTGGCGATCAAATGTTTTTAAAGCTAACTAAAATTGCATTGAAGTGAGATAAAGTTAACTCATTCTCACGAATGTCAGCACACAATCTGATGGATAAAAAGCACCTCAAAGGGTACCTTGCCTGCAGCAGTTTATACTTAATAAATAAAAGGAAGACTGCAAGTGGCAGCAGGAATGTTTACCTGTCTTAAGAGTAAAGCCATGGCTGACTGTTAGGTAAAAAACTCTTCAAGCAGGAAAAAAATCACCTTTGTGCAAAACATGTAGCTTTTGATAAATAACATACTAACAAAGACAATTAAGAAATTTGAAAAATTGTGAACACTTCATTTTACTAATATCTGAGCCAATGAGAATCCCCTCTAAAATTAAATTAGGCCAAAATCTAAATCTGTAGTAGGGTTTTCACTAGACAAACAAAATTAATATTCCTACACAGATTAGCCATTTCCATTTTTTGGTCAAACACTATTAGCTGATTCAATCAAAAAGCATAGTAGCACTTAACATTTCTCAGGTAAAGTTAAAAAGACAGCATTTTTTTTAACTACTTGGGACTCGTAGGATTTTTAAAGAGAGAAAAAAAAATGAGTTTGATAAAACATGGCATCTTTGTATTTTTAGAGTTCATTTTTCTTACACAGCCAGGAAGGCATGACATACAGTGAAGATTTTTGTTAAAAATTATAAAACTAAAAACTTAAATGATTGCAAGTAGTAAACTGTGGAGTTTACTTCAAATCAAAATCACTTTGGGACCGGCCCAAGTATTGACTGAACTACCCTAAATCACTACTTGAAAACTTACTAAGGTATAGAAATGAAAACAGTCTCCATTAGATCTCTTAAGCCTAAACAACCACAGTTATCTATAGTTGATATTAAATCATAAGGCATACACACAAAAGCTATTCGAATCCTATCTAAAACCAAACAAAAGCTATCAAAATCCTGTCATGCCATCACCTCACGGAAGACACTCATTGGGGACTACTAAAACTGCCTAATCACTACAGCACTGACAACAGGAGCAATTACAACCACCTCAAGCAGTCACAAATGTTCCCCCCCCAATTTTTTTCAATGTATTGTCTGAATTTCAAGTGCCTAATGGGCCCTGCTGTGACTCACTATTCAACACACTCATTCCAACAACTTCTATCGGTGCAGGCAAAGAAGACACTGCAGAAACTACAGCTCCTTTAATAAAGTAAACTAGCATGGAGACTTTACCTTTCCACTAACAATACTCAAGTGATAGCTCCATTTTTGGAAAGCAATTTAATAACTGCCTTGGAAAAACCCACCAACTATAAAAAACGCTATTTTCAAGCAATTACCAAAACACCTCAATATAAACAAAAAATTGAGAGCCAAGGTCCAGACAACGGTAACTGGATTAAAAAAAAAACCAAAAGTCTTCATGCCCTCCACTAACGATTTTTAATGAAAGAAGGAAATAGACCCCAAGAATCAGCAAAATTAGAAAACGCCTGTTAAAACTTCTAGGTTTATACTTCAGCAGATAGGTTTTTATAAATACACAATGTACCGCTGGGTAGCTATCATCAAACATCTGAATACCTCCAACCCCCCCCAAAAAATGTAAAAAAAATAACAAATTTTAAAAATCTAGGTCTGAATCTACAGAAAACAAAAGGGAGACAGAGGAGGGGAAGGAAAAAGAAAACGATCTTGCCAAGGATCCTCCATCGGCTGAATGGCCTTCTTGTGAAATGCTAATGCCACTTCGGAGCAGTTAGTCACCAGCTATTGTGTGCGTCTGGAGAAAGCTGAGCCGGCCGCGCGTGCAGGGCAAGCGAGGAGCTGGCGAGCGCGCTCTCCAGGCTAGCGCCGCTCCCGCCGCTCCCTCCGCTCCCGCCGCCGCCGCCTCGCGCGCGCACCCGCGCCCGCACGGACGCGCGCGCCGGCCCCTCCTCCTCCGGCCTTGCACTGCACAACACTCATGACGTATCTTTATTTCTAGCACATTAACAAAATATCACAAATAAATTGTCCGCGGCCCCTGCGGCCCCGGGGCGTCCGCACCCCCCAGCCGCCGCCCCCCGCAGCCCCCGCTCCTGCCTCCCAACCCTCCCCGTGGCCTTTGCAGCTTTCCCGTTCTGAGGCCAAGTTTTTGTCTCTGTAAAAAATTGCGGGAAATTCAATTTTTATTCGACTCGGGGAAAAGTTTCTTTGCTGTGCGCTGTGAATGTCTCACCAGATTCTGGTAGGTCCGGGGGTGCTCCTTCCCAGTCCAGTCGGTGCGCCGGGGCAGCAGCTGCGGGGACAGGACGCCCGGTGAGCGCGGCCCCCGGCCCGGCCCCGCGCCGCTCCCCTCCCCGGCCCGGCCCGCGCCCCGCCGGGGACCCCCGCGCCCCGCGCCCCTCGCCCCGCCGGACGCCCGGGCTCGCGCAGCGGCCCGGGGGAGGCCGTGCGACGACGGGACTGCGCCGACCCGCCGCGCCCTTACCTCCTTCTCGGCCACTTCGCGGATCAGCACCTGCAACAACAAAAGCGGGGACGCTGAGCCCCGCGCCCCGGGCAGCGGCCCCGCCGCCGCCGCCGCCCTCCCCCACGCCCGCGGGCGGCCACCGCGAGCGCCCGCCCGGCCGCCCGCCCGGCCCGCGCCGCGCGCCGCCTACCTGAGCCGCCTGCTGACAGGGTCCATCTTCCAGGAACCGGGCGATGAGGAAGTAGAGCTCTGCGCGGGAGAGAGGGACGGGGAGACACGGGCTGAGCGGCCGCGGGGGGCGGGGGCCCGCGGGCGAGTCCGCCCGGCGCGGCGGCCCCGCAGCGCCCGACTTACCCGATCGCAGCTCCGAGAGGCCTTTCCTCTCACGAGACATGTTTGCGGGTCACTTCGGGGCCGCCGGCGGGACACCCCGCCGCCGAGGGGAAGCGGGGACGGTGCCGCCGCCTGCCCTGTAGCTGTCAGTGTGTGCTCACGAGCCGAGCCTCGGCTCCACCATTCAAGCAACGGCGGCGGAGGCGGAGGAGGAGGAGGAGGAAACAACAACTCTCAGGCAGCGGCCCCGGCTGCGGCCGCCTCCGCCGGGATCCCTCCGCCGCAGAAAGGAGTCCGCGCCTTAGCGGCCCGCACTCGCCGCCCCCGCCCCCCGCGGGAAAAGGAGTGCCTCGGCCTAGGCCGGCGCCCGCGCCGTCACCCCTCCGCGCGGCCCGGGCCGCGGCCTATTTATTTATTTGCGGCCCGAGAAGAGGCCGGAGCCGAAGCGGCGGGCTGGTTGGCAGGCGCTTTCTCGAAGGAGGCCGCCCGCGGGAGGGGAGGGGAGAGAGGGAGAGAGGGAAGGAGGGGGCCGACACGGCTGCGCGGAGGGATCTGACGCACACGGAGCCGCAGCACAGGCTCTATTCAGCGGCGCTGGCTGGGCTGAGATGGAAGTTAGTTTCTATGTAGCAGAAATAGGAAACAAATGAAGCAAAACTGCCCAAAGAGGGGAAATGCCGGGAGGACGGGGCTCACTCTCACGCACGCACAGACACACTCAGGGAGCACTCACACGCTGGGCCAAGTCGGGAATCGCGCCGCCCTGCCCGACTTGAACGCTAGTGTTTGCTTTCTGTCTTGCCATGTGCATGTGTATAAATGCTGCGGATTGGCATCTGTGTAAGTCTTGTCCTGCGATATTTCTGCAGCCTGTGCAAGTGTTGTGTAATTTATCGGAGTACCGTGGATTGCAATAGAGGTTCGGGCTGCTTTTTTTTTTTTTTTTTTGTGAGGCACTTGCGTTTTGCAAACCCGTTATTTCCCGAAGCCACCTCTGCGTATTTCTTTTATTACTACCATTGCCTGAAGCGTTCGATTTTTAAAAAATGTTTTTGTTTTGTTAAACGGACAAGAGGAACTCTAGATTTGTACTTCAGACCATCTTTTCCCCCCTTATTACAAAAAGGCTAGTGATGGCTAATTAGGGATTTGGGAGTGAAGAACCTTAAAGCTTTCTAAAGTGTTTACAAGAAGGGCTAATATAAACCTGAGAGAAAGGAAAGGACGCTAGCTAATACTTATCTCTAACTGATATGGAGGTAAATTACTGACCAGTCGATAACCTACCGAAGGTTATTGAAAGAGTATATTACAGTTTAGCCAAGGTGATTAGTGATTAAATAATTTAAATTATCTGTGTATATTGCAGTTGACTTCGTCATGCTAATTAATGGCTTCTAATTTGAGGTGTAAACCATTCCTGTTTACAGTTAATCGCGGGAGGACTTCTTAAAAACAGACGAAAAGCAAAAACAAAAATCTTTCGTAAATCAGAACGTAATTACTGGTTTATATGATAAATCGTTCATCTTTGTTTTGCTGATGAGGATAGGGGCCTTGTTATTTTTAAAACGAATATGGGTGAAATTAATGGAAACAATGGAAAATGCCATTTGTTAGAAAACAAGGACACCAAGTGATATTTATCTCCAGATGATTTAAGCACTTTCCAAGAAGACTTTGAGAGTTCAATTTTTTTAAAGGTTGGCATTTTAAGGAGAATTAGGATAGTCATTCTTTTGTTAATCCTTAACAAAAGATCCTCTTTGAAATTTTTAGATAATAAGCTGCATCTTTATGGGTCTGGTTTTAAAAGGTAATTTGTGAGATAAGGACCGAGAAGCTGTGTTGTGGTTTTCCGAATTGTTTCCTGAAGCCTTGCACCCACCCTCCAAGCTCCTTGCCTTCCTGGTGGGAAATGCTGTAGCTGCTGCCTTCGGCTGCACAGCAACAGTGCCCTAAAACATCAGAAATTCTCACACGTGTAAGCAAGAGGGAACAACCTCACCCCTTTTGGAAGAATGGGATATAAAATTGCCTTTTGTAACTCGATAGAATAGAAATGAGAGGTTACCATGATTGGTCCTGTCACCACCTCGTTATCAGAAGAACTCCAAGTAAACTGGTACGGCTATTCTCGGATTCTGGAAATGCTGGCATTTTAAAATCATTTTATTATTACAGCCATAGGTAAAGCAGCCTGCTTCTAGATGGGTAGGCATGAAAACATATTTCACATGCCTTTTGCAATTATATTTATTTATATGACTGATGCCATTTTATCTTAACTTCTTTAAATGTGTTATGTTCTTCAGATAATTGTGATGTTCCATTGGGAAGGTCTTTAAATCAACAGATTTTGAGAACTAGAAATTCTACTTGTAGTTTTCTGGTTCTGAATGCATGCATAAACAAATTTTTGCTCTTAGATTTTCTTATCCCTGTGAGTAAAGTCAAATTTCGACATGTAATGTAAAATTTCTTTGGATAAAGTTCTCTGTGCATGTATTGTAGGTGTTTGGGAGACATGCAAAGCTATCATAATTATATCATGTATGCTTTTCATGCAGAGGCCTTGGGAGCGTTTTCATGAGACTAAAATGAAAAGCTAAAAACTCGTTTAAGAAAAGCTTGCTTCCTTCTGAATATGGCATTCCTATCATTTTGACTAACCTTTGACAATGTTTTTAGTTTCTTTTTGAAATACTTAGTTTGAAAACATTGTAAGCTTGCCTTTAAACTAATTTCTATCAATGCTCTGTATTAAAAATACAGAGTGCTTGACAAAAATTAAGATTTTTTTTCTCCCATTCTCTCAGTTCAATAAGGTATTGTTTTCCCTCTGGGCTATTAAATTGCATCCTGCTAAGTCCATTAATTTTTGTTGGAAAAACAAAACAAAACACGACCACTTCACATAAGTTTCTTTAACATCAAACATAAAACATTACAATTAATTGGAGTTTGCTAAGTCATTTACTGTGCATGTATATGTAAAATGTCTGTGCTTATCAATTAGAAGTTCTTATTTAGAAATCCTGAATTTTGTTCCCAAAGCAGAGGTGTGTACAGTTATTTTCACGGGTAGTTTTTTTTTTCCATTAAAGATAGTTTATATTGAACCCATACCTCTTTCTATTTTTGTCTCTTTCATGTACTCCAAAAATACCATTAAAAAAAACTTTCATTGAATTTTAACTAAGAAGGTGAACAAAAAAAATGAGCAAACACAAAAATCAAACAAAGAAAAGAGCTCTTGGAAAGCTGAAACTATTTCTTATATAATAGTTTGAGAGAGTTATGAACTTTTAAAAAGCTTCTATGAAATTCCATGCTGCACCTTTGACATCACATAAAACAAGCTAGACATTTAACAGAAACTTTGTAGTGATCTTGATAAGCAATAATTCTTTTTGAAAAATCTGCCATTTAAATCTTCTCCAGAATAAGATGGATGCTAATTACAGTTTTGCTACCTGTATGAAATTTGATTTGTCTCCTTTAGTATGGTGAATGACACATAACTAAAACCCATGGATGCAGTGTGTTACCTTATATGTTAAGTCATGTTTCTTTACTGGTATTGGATTACCTTTATGGCTTTTGATAGGACTGTTAGGTTGGCTTGTTTTGTAATTTATAATGCTGGGCATTGAACCTGGTTCTTGCTCATGCTACCCATGCAATCTACCATTGAGCTATATTCTCAGCTCATAGGTTACTTTCATAGCAAAAAGTTTCACCCAAGGAAATAAAAAGTAGAAAGCATCCTTCTCCAGAGAACACCTTTTTAAAAATACTTATTTTTTAAGTAAAGAACAAAATACGTCATGCTATCAGCAGGGCATTGTCTACTAAGCCACACTCCGGTGGCTTGTTCTCCACCTCTGTGTGTTTCTGCCATGCCTGCCTGTTTCTTCTCACTTACATCCTAATGTCGGCTCAGTGTGCGCACATCAAATCTGAAGTTCATGAGCAGCTATAGTATGATGGCGCCTTTGGGAAGAACAGCGTTAATTTACTGTAGCAAA